GCCATGCTGGCTGGGGAATTCTGGGAGTTGAAATCCACACAACTTAAAGCTGCCAGGGTTGAGAAATGCTGCTATAATACATTGGTTCCAATCCCTTTTGCAGCCCTCTGGATGAAACAGGTGAGATCACTGCCAGAAGGTCATATCCTACAGATGATCCTTGATACTTAGCACTGATCTGCTGGATGGCCAGCTGTCAAGTTACTGGCAGCAGTCATTCCTTAGTTAGGTCTAAAGAGGAGACGAGGTAAGGAAAGGCACATTTTCTGGTGATATGCTAAAGAGCCATGGATTTATTTCTCTGAAACAGCCTTCCTCAGCCTGGGGCCCTCCTGGTATTTTGGACCACACCTCCCATCATCCCCAGCCAGGTGGCCCTTGGTTAGCCTTGTAATTCAACATATCTGATGGACTCCAAGCTGTAGAAGGCTGGGTTTGGACCACTGGCATCATAGGGCAATGAAGATGATACAGGGACTTGAGGTGCCCTCTGAGCACAGGCTGAAGGAACTTGGTATGTTCAGTCTGGAGAAAAGATGGAGGGGAGACATGTTGAGGTATGTCCAGGTACATAAAGGGAAGCTACAAGGAAGATGCTCAAGAACTCTCTTCCACAGCCACAGAAACTGAGACCGGAAGTCACGGATATCAGATCTATGCAATGGTTGACCTATGGAGATTGTGGGTCTTCCATCTCTAGAGGTTTTTAAGAAGAGGCTGGACAGCCCCCTCTCAAGCAGTTCCATTGGTTTTCCTGCACACTGCAGAGGGCTGGACTCAATCCTTGGGATCCCTTCCAACTCGACAATTCGATGCTTTTTTAAAACTTTCATTGAAAACTAGAGGATGCCACTAACCAGCTTTTGTAGGGCAGAGAGATCTACAACCAGTACCGGGTGGCTTAGTTTTGTCCTATAAATGACACTCCTGTCCACCCCCTACCCCCCAGTTTCCGATGATAATAAGTGCCACCATGCGCTAAGCTGTGGTTTAGAAACCATAACCGGCTGGGCTCACGCAACAGACGAAGCTGAAGCAAAGCACAATGGCTGATAGCAACACATGAGCCAAACCGCCACTTAGCGGTCATTCCTCGCTATCTCACATCGGACGCTGTGAGCGTCTCGGTCTGTGGTGCACAAGTGGGACTTGACAGCCGTAGCAAGAAAGGGACCTTGTCACATAGGAAGGGACGCGTTCTGGCCTTTCATCCTGAACCGAAATTGGTGGGGGCTTGCTGGCTCGGGCTGTGGGGTGTTGACCAAAGCAGGGGCCGTTCTCAGCTCCTGGGTCTGACCTCAGTTGCTGGAAGGGATCTTGTTGACAGCAGCTGAGTAGGAGGGGTGAAGAACTGAATGATAATGGGCAGCCGGACTCAAACAGGCCCAGATAGCAAATCCTTTGATTTTTCAAAATCCCCTTAAGATATGTGTGCATGGGGAGGAAAGACTGTCACGGGTGAAATTTCACTCTGCGCATGACCAGTTATACTTTTTTGGCATTATTCCTTCAAGCCCTCTGGAGCTGGGGCTTGTCTCTGAAAAGTTGCTGGAGGCAAATGTTTTCTTCTGATTTTAAAAACACACACACACACACACACACACACACCACAAATGAAACCTGGGTTCTCTGTGAGACTGCCTCCCTCCAGCCCAGCTTCAGCCTCTGATTTGGGAAGGGGGGACTTCCCCTCCCCAAGGGGGCGTGGATTCTTCCCCAGCTGTTGGTGGCCCACGTGGTTTGGACACCTTGGGGAAAAGTGCAGTGACCTGCAGGGAAGGGCGGAGGTAGTGGTGGGATCTCTGTGGCTTTATAACTCTGCATGCAGTGATTCAGCCGTGTCCAGTCAGTGTCCCCTTCGTCCTGCTTCTGGGGGACTTCAGACGTGAGGTGGGACCTCAGTGAGACGTGAACGGTCTGCACCATCATGCACCCTGCGCTCTGGCTACTGCTTCTCCTCCTGCAACTGGCAGCACCTTTTCGATGGGACACGTCTCCGGTAAGATAGCTTGGAAGCAAGGAAAAAAGCGGGGGAGTGTTTGACACATGGGGAAACATTATGGGGGGAAGAGGGGGAGAAGTTGAAAAATACTCCTTCCAATCACAAGCCTGTGGAATCCAGTGTCTCATTTGTGGACACCAGAAGCGCCTCTGTTTTTTAAAATACTGATTTGAAATGGGAAGCATAAAGATGGTCTAATAGAAAAGGCTTGAAGTACAGAGATGTGCAATTGTTTTGGGGAGGGGCTGCGACACTGGGGAAATATTGACTCTGTGATCCTGAATGGAATAGACCCCCTTGTTTTACTGTTCTCTTTCTGGATCTTTGCTCTGTGGTAGGCATACTATGAATTCATAAATGTTTGAATGCTGCAGCACCTGGAAAGTAAAATACATGTATGTGTGTGTGTTTAAATATCTAGACTTCAAAAAAGGGTTCTTTTTTAACGAGATCAATATTTGGCAAAGAAATGTTATTTCCTTTGACAGTTTGCACATTTAAAACTCTAAAGCAGAGAGTTTAGGTGTCTGGTATCTATTTTCCACAAAAAGCCGTAGAGAATCAGAGTTAACATTTGGGTCCCCCCCCTCCCCTTTTTTTTTTCCAAACCTGGGGAAATTGTCACACTGTTGACAAAAAATGCTTGGGCACCAGCAGAGCAAAGCAAAGCAAAATGTGTTTTTCCTCTACTTCTTTCTATTTATTTAAACATTCTTGATGAGTGCATTCTACCATAATGTTGAATTGGTTTGGGTTGGTTGGTTAATTGAATTTTGATTGAATTTTCCCCCTTCTTTTTGCTCAATCATCAGTACATAACCTTTTCCTGGAAAGTTGTATGATTGTTTGAGGTAAAAGTGTTTGTAAATTGTGGTTTATATTCTTGAAGTTCACTAAGGGTTGAGTCCATACTTTCCCAGCTATTGAAACCTCTGTTCAGTTTGTTTCTGACAGTAAGGATTGGACTAGACACTTCTTAGCACTGGCTTTCAAAAGTTCCTTGGCTTTCCAAAACATGCAGGCATGCACCCAAAGGATAAATGTCACATTTGAGAAGTTAAGATCCTCTTGAAAAAAATTATAAAAAAGAAAAAAAATGGTTGTGTAAAAGAGGTAACGGTTGTGTGTAGCAGTGCAAAAATGAATACAAGATAACATGCTCCCATTCTCAAATAGCCCGTGTGCTTTTCACAGCTGCAGGACAGGCTGAAATGCTCCCTTTCACTCTCCTTCCCTGGTGGGAAGTATTTGGGTCAATGGCCCAGTCTTACTACCTGCTCTGCGTTTTTGCTTTGCAATCAGGTTGTTAGTTTCCAGCTTTCCATCAACCAGGTTCCTGGAGGTGGAATATGGAACTCCATCCTTGGAATTTGGGTTTGTCCCCTTGAAACTAGTCAGCATAAGCCAAAAGAGAATTCCCCCCATCTTCTGCTGCCATCCCGTTTAGTGAGAACCAAGAGCTTTTAAAAAGGATAATTTACATGAATTGAGCCTCTATTTCTATTTTACTGGCTTTTGCCCTCCCTGTGAGCTTCCAAAGCACGTCTTGTGATCCATTCTTGCAAACAGGAACATATGATTCTTTGGGTTGAGTGAAGACTTTCTGTAAGTTGAGGGTTTTTTATAAGTTTAAAGTTCAAGTCTTCTCTGCCACAATCTTTTAACCATCTACATGTAGAGTCATTTTGATTTTGTGATAAATATTTGGTCCTGGGTAACTTCATTTTATTTAGTTGGCTGTCCACAGGTCTGGGCTGAAAATAATGCCGAGGAACTGAGCTTCCATGTTTACAGATGTTAAAAAAAACAGAGGCACTATGACATTTATGTCACCATGTGCCAAGGCTGATGGATAGCTGTAAACATGGAAATCTCTAATCTTAACTTGTCTGATGCTGACCTCTCAGTGCTCATCTTAGCTTACAGAACAGATGAGCTCTTGCAAAGGTTTTGGTCCAGTTTTTTCCTAGAGTTCCTTTACCCTGATGTTTTCTTCCAAAACCTCCCATTCTTCACACCTGCCTTTGGCTTAACCCCTTCTCACCTCTTATGGAGAGGAAGCCCAAGTGTGTATAACTATATCAGTATGCTCCTTCCCTTCATTCTTTCTCCCCTCCCTGCTCAGTGTTGTGCAGTTGTAGATGTTAATGCTCTTAGAAGAGGACCTTCCATTTTAGACAGTCATGGGTTACATCTCTTTCTTCGACCGAGGACGAGTCAGGATTGCAGCATTTGGGGCTTGGGGTGGGACGCTGGGCATCGGCTCCAGAGTCCTGGCTGGAAGGTCCTTTCACCAGTCCCATTCCCCAGTCACATTTTTGAATTGCATATTAGAAGTTCTCTGGGTAGAGAACTTCCTCTGACTCTCTTACTTGTGCGAATTGCTCAAGAAATAATTCAGGAATGTGTTCTATGTGCTTGTAGTTGTCGCTCAATGTGCTTGTTCTCCAGTTCCTTTTCGGCTGGGAAAGTGTTTTGCTAGTTAAGTCCCACTGCCTGCATTCCACCTTGGGGCAGGCCAACCTGATTTATCTGGAAAACACCGATCCCTTAACTTCCATTCACTTATTGATGGAATCAGGGCCACTTTGCCCATCACCCACAGACTAACTCAAGGTTTTTTGCCTCACCAACGGCTCTGCTTTTTAAGAGCAAAGCTGGGTGGGATGGCATGCAAAGGGTGGGGTATGACTGAGCATCTCTTCGTCGTGTTCCTGGGCAATTCAATTCCACTCCATTTACCTGCAGTTACTCTTTAGGTCTCATGCAAGTCACTTTTTTCTGCAGCTGGGGCTATACTTTTGAGTCATCATAACGTCTTTGCTCAGTAAAGGTCTTAATGGGTAATATCATAACATAAAAGGAGATGTAAGTGTTGGTTTGGCTGGCTGGTTTATGAGAGTTGTACGGCCACTCATCCCATCATGTGATTCTAGGTGGCTAAGAACAATTTAAAATAATAATCACACTCACACTGGTAACAACAGACAATACAGTGCCATATCACTGAGGTCTGGTTCAAAACCTTTGAGCCCTTCAAGGTAGGCCAGGTCAGGAAACAGAGTCCAGAAGGACTGTTATAACGCTACTTTATTATTATAGGGTGTAATAAGAGAATCTTGAAAGTCTGAAAGAGATTCTCTCTCCCCTTCTTATACCCAAGAGAATCAAGGTGGGGCAATTCTGAATTTCTTCCTCATTCGCTCCTTCCTTTCAGGGTTGTTGAATACGCTTTCCAAGCTATCTCTGTCCTTCTCTGTACCCACCCTCCCCAAACATACAAATCATCATAGAAACCAGGATCACTGAACATCCTGGCCCAGGCAGGTCTTTAAGGATTTGCTGAAGGCCAACAGGGTTGGGGACATCAGGATCTCTGGGGGAAATGTGTTTCATAGAGCAGGCACTGCAACGGAGAATGCGCATCTCCTCTGTCCCCTTAGATGACACTGCCTTGTAGAGGGGACCTCGAGCATGCCACCCTGTCAGATCTGGTGGGACAAGCAAAAACAATCGGAGACAGGCAGACCTGCAAATAACAAATGCAGCTCATGAAGAAGTGGTGTTAGGGGAGCATACTACCCCCAAAATTGCAGGCACTGCTGCTTTCTGAACTAGTTGAACCTTCTGAATACTTGTCAAGGGCAGCCCCATTGCAGTAGTCCACGTGGGAGGTGACTAAGCCATGAGTGGCCATGAGCAAGACCTTTCATTCTTTCTTCTACCCCTTGTTGCTCATTCTAGATTTTTAAAAAAATTATTATGGGTGTATTAAGACTATGTCATTTTATCTGGCGGTTTGCTATTCTTGGCAGCGTGTTGCTGGTGGATCCAAAATGGGCTAAGATGGTGAATCATGTTGGGCAGTGTTGGGCTTCAGGGTTTAGTGAGCATGGCTGGCGAATAAAAGTTAGCAAGATGACAGAAACTGGATTGGAATGGAAAAAGAAACAGACCCGCGCAATCCAAGGGGGCTTCGC